AGAGCTCAAGATCTCCAACGCACTCCCCCCTGGCTACAGAAAAGCTGTCTCCAAACTCCCTTCTGGAGGGGGCCCTGTGCCACCCTGTCTGTTGAATCTAGTGTGCAGGACCACACTATCCAGCCCATGGGGCTCCTCCTGGGTTCAGATATTTGGCAGCAGGGGAGCAGCAATTAATGCTGCCACTGCTCCCCCCTGTAACACATTTTTGGACCCAGGAGAAGCCCCATGGGCCAGATTATATGGTGCCATGGGGCAGGGATTGAGCACTGCTGGTATAAAGCACAAAACTCACTGTTCACCTGTACCTTTTCCTCAATAGACCTGTTGTTAGGCACTTGCTCAGGAAAACAGGAAGCCTGGGATCTAAACCCTTCTTAGCTTGAGGGGATCCACTTCCTCTGAGAGTGTTTAATCACCAAAATAAAGGTTAGACCCTAAGGATAGATGAGGGATTTAAACTTCAGTCTTCCACATCTCAGATAACTGCTCTAACCACAGTGCTAGTGGATGAGAAGGGAGAATACTTCCAGTATTGTCACTGTTTTCTCCAAAGAAGGGATAGAACCCTACTTGGTTTGATAAAACAACTTAAGTGTTTAACTCTACCACAGTTTTATAGTTGGTAGGGTTGGAAGGGACCTAAGCAGATCATCTAGTCTGACCCCCTGCCATGGGCAGGAAAGGATGCTGGGGTCAAATGACCCAAGCTAGGTGGCTGTCTAGCCTCCTTTTGAAGACCCCCAAGGTAGGAGCAAGCACCACTTCCCTTGGAAGTTGGTTCCAGCTCCTAGCCGCCCTGACAGTGAAGTAGTGCCATGGAGAACAAAAAACACCAGCATATTTTCCCTATGCCTGAAGAAGGGTGTTTGTGCCTGAAAGTTTGCAAAGAACAATTTTTGCAACTATTTAGTTGGTCTAATAAAAAATATCACATTTACCCAAAGAGCCTCATCTGCCTAAATCCAGGAGAGAGTTCATAACTGTAAATACCTAAGGAAGGTGGGGCTTAAGTTACATTCCTCATTTTAGCATCACCTACCAGCCTGCACAGACTGCTGGCTGCTGTGAATTCTACTCTTAAGCACCCAGAGGGAACCCAGGTGCCTAACCTGGGGTAGTGAATTTCATTCTGTGGCAGGGCATTAAAAAATGTAGGACATTGCCTCACATCCCCTTCTACAACTAGCTGCTAGGCTCTTCTAATTATCCTGCTGCTTACATAGAACAAATGGTTACAATATTCAGAATTGCTATCTATTGGCTGCAACTACACGAGACTGTGCAACTGTTACTGCACAGTCATTTAGTACTTGTATAAACAAGTACTAAATGACTGTGCAGTAAATGGAGTTACTCTGCAGTCTGTGAACAGCTGTTTCATGCTGCTGACTGCACAGTAGCGAGTGACAACTGCACAGTAGCGTTGTGTCACGCTTTCTGCCATGTGATGTGAGTGTGCAGTAGTCACAGGCTACTGCACAGTCAGCATCTCATGTAGACTTGACCACTGAGCCCCAAATTAGGTTGTAAAGTATTTTCCTAGCTTGTTAGCCCACCTGACAGATACTTACTTTTCAAGAGCCTCCAAGTGAAATCCTTCTTTTCTTCTAACAAAGACAGTGCAATAAATTTTTTATGAACAGAAGAAAAACTGTGCATTTCACTGGAGCGTGCAGAAATTCTCTCTTGATTTAGTTGTGTTGCTACCAGACATCGACCCTATCAATACATGGAGATTATAAGTAGGTATAAATAATGTTTGGAGATGTTTCTATTAATCAATACTGCCCTAAATGGTCACCATTGCTCCTTTCTATGTCCCACCTAAAACTTGTATTTTGACAAGTATAAAATTCTGCATGTCCTGCTGATATTTATTGACTGATTCCATTTTCTCTAACAGAAGATTTACAGATGCAAATACATCTTCAAAAAGGGCTAGATTTGCAGAGTACTCTGAGACATTTTCACTGCATAAATGTCACTGAATTTAAAATGTTATAGTAATCACATGGATATTATACAAGGTCCGCATGGACCATTTGGAAAATTTACCTCTCTAAAATTATTCAAAGTTTGGGGCTAATTGCTTCAGGAATGGCTTTTGCTGGTCAAACTTTTGCCAGGGTGTTCTAAAGAGTTTACTAAAGTGTCCTGTCTTTTCTATCATGCACTAAAGCTTACTTCTTACTATTCTACTAAAGCATAAGACAGCCTTTTCCAACAGCTTTCAGCTGCTGGAAAAAGGGCTGGTCCCTGTTCAGGAGTGTTTATTCATGTACATAAGTGTTTTCCTGATTAGGACTTACTTCCCTTAATGCAGTACCAAATTATGTAGAATAAGAATAAATAACATATTTATCTATTCAGAATTTCTCTCATGATAAACTAAGAATGACAGTCAACAAAAACTGGCAGATATCATTTTCATGGCAGCTTCTGCTAGACATTTTAAAATAACTGATGAATGCTCTAGATCAAGTTTTCCACTCCTGTTTTGTGAATGAACAAAACAGATGATGACTAAAATGTGGCCCAATATGATTTGAGAGATATTTCTTCATAATTGTCATGACTGAATATGATCTAAGATACAATAAATAGATCTAAGATATAATATAATAGTATAATAGATTTTAAAAAAACCTTTCAAAACACTGTTGTGGACAAAAGGGATCTCCGTGCTACCTCAGAATAGAATATATTTGCTGCATGTTCCTAATCCTGCAGATTTTATTAAAATAGAGTAGTATGTAGTAAACAACAAACAACACATTTCTCACAGTGCCACAAAACCTAACACCTCCTAGTAAAAGCCTGCCCAAATAAAAAGTTCTTTAAAATTTTCCTGAAGGTGCCCTGATGGGCTCTGATGGACCACAAATGTCTCATAGAAAAGATCTCCCAGGTCATTAAGTACATTTCCCTAAATTCACAGACCACCATTTGTTCAAAAGGTCCAGAAGATCATCCACTCCAGCCCCTCTTGCTTACTACAATCACAAAGCATTTGGATATAAAAAGAACCTACAACATGCCAAGAGAAAGAGCATAAGATATAATGCCTCCTGCACCACCTGGGCAACTGCAATGGTAGGAAATCTGTCAGGTAAAAGTATACATGTATAATCCGCACCCCATGGAGGCAAAAAACACTTTATGGGCACATTCAGACAAGCGCGCACGTGCCTTTTGCCCCATCTCAGACCCCTTTGAGCAAAGAAATGATCCCTGTGCTGCAAGTTTGCAGCACGGGGAGAAAGTTAGACCCCTATATCCAAGGGT